TGTTCGAAATCGAGAATAAGCGCGTCTAAATGACATGTAGAAATGTATTCTTTATCTAATGTCAGTTGAATTTCGAGAAACCACGAAATATTTTTCTTAGTCAAGTTTCCTATCAAAACACTTTTACGTTTGTTTTAAATAACAAAACATATTATTATGTTATTGGTTATTATGTTAGATAATAAATGTTGCAAAAGGTACTGTGTGTGATGGTAGATTTAGTAGTAGTATTTGGTAGTGTATGGAGTACCTACGTTTATATAGTCAATGATAAGACTTTAAAACTACCATTAATTTCTATTATGACTGCTAAAACATAATATACCTTGACTATAACGTAACTTTCTACTCCCAATGATGTACGGTGTTCTAGTTGTAGCGTCGTTTACTTATCTCCAGAGATTACCTTCAAACAATTGTCCCTTTCGGGCTAATATCTCTTAATGTTAGAATTTAGAAGCTTTAGACGCAAGGGCTCAGTGCGGTCCCTTAATGGTAGATGTAAAAGTAAGTCTTATTGTAATGTGCCTTAGTCACGCCACTAAGTAGGTTTATCTTAATGCAATAAATAGCCTTAAATGCGGGGAATAAATTGGTTAGAAGCTATATAAATATAAACCTTAATCGATATTATATAAAGGCTTTGGTAGGTCTGAATGCTCTGATTAATGATTTTGAAGCGGGGAAACTTAGTAATTTTATAGTCGTGAAGCATGTAACTGAATTAATACCATACGATGCATGCAACCTGCAAAGCTGTCAGCGTTGGACAGAGATTGATCCTTTTACGTTGCCCACTCTGTTTAACGAGTACTAGCATAATATTACATACGTGGTAATATTCTACGCGCTTGTATCAAATGCAGTTTAAAAATTAATTTCCTTTCTTTAAAATACCTCTTCACCTATATTTTTAAGAAACAATAAGCTCAAATTTGGTTTACTAATGTCAAATTATGGGGAAGCAGAACTGTTAATGAAAACATTATTCATTACCAAGACACAAGAAGGGAAAGAAATAATGTCTGTCTATTGTACCAATGACTTTTTATCTAATGACGTTTGAATAGGAGGATGGCGTCTAAATTATCCACATAATAAAACTACGTATGATAATAGTTTATTTTTGTTTTCTTTTTTATACTCTTTAAATATCTCTGCTATTATCGCTTCCCATAGAAACAGAATAATACGGTAAAGTTTCGCCGATATATCACTTTTCTTGACTTGGATATCTGGGGATATCTTTTTATACGATTTCCGCAATGGCTTAAGTCACGCTCCGAGATACGCAGTCCTTACGAACTTAAATTGGTTTCATAGACGTTTACAGGCGAACAGTGGCGTCCAATTGTCCGGGAAATTAAGGGGCGGGGTGGAGCTTAGTGGCGCCCGACCTAAGTCCACGATGAGTTGCTATGGCAACGGTAGTCTCTGATTGAAACTAACACCACTCGATTTTAGCCGGCCATAGACCTTTGCCATGGACAAAGGACAAATGCTTGCAAAGTTGTAGTCTTTCAATAATTGCAACAGATCTCAAACTTCTAACAAAGAATCGTAATAACGATAATAACAGAGTTACATACTTTCAATTATCCCACAGAGATTTTGCAAACGTTTGTAGTCAAATACTTGTCGGATGTACCCTTATTTGAGTTGTAAAGTATTACTAGTTCAACTTTTTTTGTTTTACTTTAGTCGAAGGCGCGACGGCGGGGTTAACGACCGACGCCAGTTCGTTGTCATGGCAACAAAAACCTACAGAAGGCTGCGTCGAAACACGTATAGATAAGCCTTCAGTGTATAGGGATGACAAATTAATCTGAAACACTAAACTCGATTTCGTAGCTTACATACATACTTGTGGTGTTAAATTGTTAATCTTTTTAAAATGTAGATTGAATTTGATTGTTTAAAAAAAGCTGTTTTTGCTCTATTTTTCACATTTCGGTGACATACAAAAATTCTCGAGTGAAAGTATCAAAGAACGGACATTTTAAGTACATTTGAAGGCATTAGCAAACGACTACCGAAATGCAACAGCGGAGAATCATTTCGTACAACGAGCTATAAATCTAAAACCACGCAACGGGGCACGCCCTCCGAGCCAAGAGTGACGAGCTATCGATGTTATACAGTCGCACCATCACTGCGGTCTTCTCAAGGTTGCTGGTAACAATCTATTAGATATTATAGCCGTGTATGAAAATGTATGAATATGTATGTTGGCCGATGAAGCGAGACCGGGTCGCGCCGGAACCCCGCTCCGGTGCTCCCATTGTCCTCTTCCGCGTCGCGTTACCGATTGCGCTATTGCGCGTTTGTATGTGTTTTATGTTTCCTCGCCGTAATGTTCCTTTTTTTATTATATCCGAGACCGCTCTGCGCCCCGCAGACGGTTCCGCTTCATCGCTCTCCTTCAAAAACAACCTTCGCTCGATGGCGAGATTTAAAAAATGTACACTAAAATAAACACAATTAAATGAACACGCTTATCATCAAAGGATGGAAATCGTCGTTACACATGACACGATCATTGCAACCTTTTTTTCCCCCCCCGAAAAAAAAAAATACATCGGCGCATTCCTGCATGATACGTTCTATGCCACCATCTCTCAGTTTATCACCAATTTGTTCGATCGTCTTCTACTGAGTTTCCAACTTTTGCCCTGTTAATAATTTTTGGCAGTCTTTTTTCTTTCACAGACTCCACGTGCATCTCTTTACATGCAAAAAGCTTTGCATACCCTGTTGCATATAAAAATGTCCCAAAACATAAAGTAATAAAACATAAAAAAAAAAGTTGTAATTATTTTTTTTGATAAAGGAAACAAACTACATCCAAAGTGGCCTTTAAAAAGGCCATGAGATGTGAGGCACTATCATTTAAGTGACTTGTTTATACCAATTTCTCTAAGTGATTGATCACACGTTTGGAATCTCTGTGCACGCTACTGTACACGTGCGTACATGTTTATTGATGGAATTATTTATAATCATGTATTTTCATTTGCGCTCGGTGTGCTCGACAGGTTACCCACTTATTTTTTTTTACGATTTTTTATAACTTATCACACGTGCAAAGAAATCATGTGTCGCGTTAGATTTTCCAAACATGAAATCGCGGACGCAGAGACCTAATTTTTTTAACCAAAACTGGCCAGTGATCTTCTACCATCCAAATTGATAGTAACTTGTGATGTCTCAATTTTTTCTTCCGTTCCGTTCCGGGGATAGAACCCACAACACAGCGTGCAATAGCGTTCTGTAAGCAACGCCATGTTTGCGAATTTATAAGCTCACTGAAACTGATATTACTCTCTTTTTCTGTCTACGTCGTAAGGTTTAAAAAACGTGACGAATTCGAAACTGAAAAAAAAAAAAACATAATATCGTCAGGATTGGTAAAAACAGACAATTTAAAACGCTGCGTCTAAAAACCATAAAACTACACATAGAATTGTCTGATTATGGTGTAAAAAATAAAATTTTGAAAATATATTCCTTGGAAATTTTGATAATAATTGAGATATTGAGAATAGAGAGTTTTACGTTTTTTCCCGTTTTTTCTGCTGTAAAACCCGAAGGAGTACCAAAAGATGGTTAAAACGATTTTGAATACAAAATTGAGTCTGCTTCGTACTCCGATACAAGTATAAACCATTAAGGTTTGCTACGTGCATCAGAGGATTGTTATTTGACATTTAAAAAGCACGCTGTGATGCAACTCGCTGGATTGCGTATTACTCACTAACCTTGGACGGCGGACTTATTGTAATGTATATTCATATCCAGAGCTCTTATTAGGGGGATTCTTTTATATTTAAATCTTAATTTTTTTAAAACACGCTACCATTAACATGTAAGTTTAAAATGAAATAAATCTACAGGTAAACGGTACAGAGTAAGTAAGGAGACTGTTTTTTTGGCAATAACAAATAACAAAGAAGATATTTCTTTTAACAAGTCAATCTCATTAAAATTGAAAAATGAATATTCATCGCATGAGAAAATTCATCATTGTATTAAAATGCTCTAGTCTCATAGTTCTATGTTTTACTTTACATATCGATATTACGTCTTAATGATGTTATTTCAAAGTCCGGATGTGTTTTGTTTAACAATTGGATAGGTACAAAATATATTCCGCAATAACAATTACCTCTAATAAGATAATACTCATTAGGAAGCATGGAATATATTTGGGTTTCCTTCCTTATCAAGCGTTAATGGTCATGATATCTGTTAATTAACTTCCTATGTTTTCAATATGCCATTTTAATTAGCAGAGGGCTAGCTTGATAAAAACATATGACACACGTATAATAAGATTTATATTTTACGTATGTTTTAAGGGTTAAGTAAAAGAAAACGTTAGAGCCATTTAGAACATTTAACGTTAGAACATTTATATAAAGTATATAAATGTTTTTTTTCCAGATATTTAATTATAGTAATTCATTATATTGAAACATTTAAGTGCCGTGCATTTATTTATTTATGACTATGAATTCAAATTTACATGTGAAATTTCATTCATTTGTTGTTAAATATACAAGTACAGTACAAACAATAAAACTAATGTGTTCGTCTGTGATTTTAACAAATGCCAAAATCTGAGTGAAGGATACTATATATGATTCCTAATTATGCATTACCGTTTTCATATTTCGATGTTCCTGTCATCCTGTCTGGAATTTAGACAAAAGTTTTTAATTTTCTTTTATTATGAAGTTTATATTTTATATTCCGTTACAAGGTCCACACGAACGGACTCGCGGATAAAAAACTCGCGCTAATAAACTTACGCTTTAAACATGGACCAATGTGTTTTAGTCATATAACATGTATCTTTTATAACAAAAGTTTTAATTCGAGGGTCGTGCCAAATGGTCTTCGTGGGAGCTCTAAATCGAGCAATGGTCTGATGTGACCCGAAGATTATCGTTTATTTTATTTTTCAACTATCTTTTCAGGGAACAAAGCTATGGATTATAATGGAATACCTCGGCGGCGGCTCCGCGCTGGACCTTATGAAGGCAGGCAGTTTCGAGGAGATGCACATCGCCGTGATACTGCGCGAGGTTCTGCGAGGCCTGGACTATCTGCACTCCGAGAGGAAACTCCATAGGGACATTAAGGCGGCCAACGTCCTACTGAGCGAGATGGGTGACGTCAAACTGGCAGATTTTGGTGCGTATAAATTTTTTTCTTTAACTTTTTTTTTATGTGTGAGAAGGTGGCAAGCGAAATTGCGGTCCACCTGATCTTAAGTGGTAAACGCCGCCCATGGATATTTGCAACACGCGTAGGGTTGCAGATGCGTTGCAGGCTACTTCACTCACCAGACAAAACGCAGAAGTGTAACACTTCCACTCACGCCGGTTGTCTGTGAAATTGTGGTACTTCCCGGGACGGACCTGCCCATTCTTGCAACTGCGAATTGTTGCGTGGCCCTACCACAGTTAACTATTTTTTTAAAGGCACTGTGTAACCTGTGTCGACTATGATTTAGTTTAGACAAAAACTTCGAATCGCATGTAGCAGGCAATTGATTCATTGCTTCAATTTGATACATTATTTTGTATCGGATTTGCAACATCTATATACAAGCAATTTTTTCTTTGTGCTATTCTTTGTGTGCATTCATCTTTATCGTGAAGTTGGCACATTGGTTTCGTCATGGCAATAAAAATATTTTGTAAACGTGTGATACGCTATCGAACGTTTTGTTTGTTTTATTTAGCGACTCGACGATGCTCGCAGAAGAATCCGATACAATAAACATTTGTTCTCGTGTGCAATGAACGTGTCATCGGCGGTGATTTCTCAATCGGTCGTTGTTAGTGGCGTGCCTTTCGCATAGTTGGCATTGATTGGTGACCGCTCCCCGTCGTCGAATCGTTGCGGACGCGTCACGAAAATCGTAATCGTATTTCCCATAGGAGCCATAGAGCGCCATATGTTACCGTTGGATTTTATGTTCACATCATATCTACATTCCCTACAGGTTTTGTAGATACCGATAGGGTATTTTATGTTACATCTACACAAAGTAACATGATAACGCTTGAAAACTTGTAAACTTTATAACGAGCGATTCACACGTGACACCTTTCTGTCTACGGTCGTTAACGTAATGAAGAGACATGTCAATGACCTCGTGTTACCTACGCCATTTGTCATTTTAATATATAATAATATCCTTTCCCGTATAAAATCGACCTTTGGCTACCCTCGCCACTCAGAACACTTTAATCAACTCCACGATCCAAACTAAGTTACATCATTGTTTAACTGGAGACATATTGGCCCATCGCCAAGAACCAATGTTTGATGTCGTAGCCCCGACGTAGGCAACATTAAATGTTCCTTTGGAATAATTAGAAAATTTTGGCAGTCATTTTCGTAGCGAAGTTATCTTATTATCTCGTTTTAAAAGGATAAATCTAAAGTGCGAGCAACCTTCGTGGGCACCTCCCAGAGCGAGACAACGCATTATAAGAAGTAAACTAGCCAAATTGCTTTTAGCGTCGTATTTCATAAACAGTGTCAAATTTCTTTGAAAGGATTTTATGTTATTTTCATTTTCCATTTAAAATATTAATACGCATAGTAAAAATGTGTCAGATTTATACATTTGAACAAGTACAACATTTGTGACAGACGGACAGACAGACAGACAGCGGAGTTTTAGTAATAGGATCCCGTTTTACCCTTTGGGTACGGAACCCTGAAATACAGCCAAGCTTCTTACTGAATGTGTAAATCGACATACATCACTCTGCGGCTCATAAATTTATCACGAGATTAACAATCTTTTCGATCCCTTGCCTAGTTTCTCCGGATGCATTATTTCTGACGGTATTTATTAACACACTGTAGTTAATCTTTTTTGGATTATGTATTTCATTAGTGAGTTAGCGTTTACTTTGTGTACATTATTACACGTATAACACGTGCGGGGTGACTTTCTCCATCTGAAAAAAAAAAAAAAAAAAAAACGGTGACCTGAATTGCAGGCGTGGCAGGACAGCTGACGAACACGACTAGCAAGCGGAACACCTTCGTCGGCACGCCGTTCTGGATGGCGCCCGAGGTGATTAAGCAGTCGTGCTACGACAGCAAAGCGGACATATGGTCGCTCGGCATCACTGCCATAGAGCTCGCCAAGGGGGAACCCCCCAACTCGGAGCTGCACCCAATGAGGGTGCTCTTCCTCATACCGAAGAACAACCCGCCTCAACTCACGGGCAGCTACTCGAAGCCGTTCAAAGAGTTCGTCGAGGCGTGCCTCAACAAGGACCCTGAGAATGTGAGTTGATTGTTGGTCTCTCACCATTGATATTTTCAAATTTAGTGGTTATCCAAAACCAATTGCAATTTTCAAGTATCTATATATGTATAATATGTATTTAGTAACAAAAGAAAACTATGTTTAAGTATGTTTATCTGTTATCTAGTACCCATAGAACAAGCGTTGCTAGTTTTGGACTGGAGAACGTTGTGTAAAAATGTGTTCTAAAATATTAATTTATTTGTATATCTTGTATTTATGCAGATCCCAATTGCCTTCGTGTGTTTTAACGTACTTACCTTTTATTATTATGTTGATGAAAATTTACTTATTACATCGAGAATTACATAGAAAAGTAATTGTATGCTCTACTAAAAATAAACTTTTAATATATGTAATAGTACTATTTTCCAAAACTATTATTATTTCTCCATGGCTAAATGTAAATTGAAAATAGTGTAAAAATAATAGAAGACGGAGTAACTATAAACAAAATCGAATCTGGCAAATACGACGTTGAAGGGAATCTCGCAAATCCTGTATTTTTTTTTAAATAACGTATAAACAAGCGGCAAATGCCGCAGACTTTCCGCATGTAAAATGGGCGGTGCGTCTAAAGCATCACAATCGTCCACTTGAGAAAAGGTGTTTAGTGCCCTCCACTGTGCAAACATTCCGCTAAAGGACCCGACGTAGGGCCTTACGTGGGGTCAACAAACCCGCGACGTGCCGCGTACAGGCTCAATTCAGAGTGACCGTATCGCAAACAATTGTTATTTCAGAGCGCTCTCGACAAAGAGTTAATTTATTTCTGAACACTGTTTACCCCCCGCGTGCTTCGCGTGCTAGCCTTTGTCAACAGCAACGGCCCCGCTCTTGAGTTTCGGCCAAAGCCAACGTTTGTTTATATGCTAATGAGTATCGGACGTATAGCGTTATACATTACAATGTATTGTGTTCGGAACGAAATAACATTTTTATTTATACAGACTACACTGTTGCTTTGTAACTCTATTAATGTCAATCACTACGGATCGACACATTTCTTCACTCAATGAAAAATGTATTTAAGCAAGCCATAGCACGTTTTAAATATTCAATTGCTATGATTTCGTATAATGTTTTAGTTTAAACACTTTACTGATCCGAGTACAAAATGTTTTGCGTATAACCTGAACTTTTTTGTATGAAAGCCTTTGTTATATTTTAAAGTAGATGGACCAACTACAAAGGCTTCAAAGAAAATCGGCATCACCAATTTTTGTCATACATTCGCGAATGATCGCGCGCTTAGTGGATATCGTTTTTTCACTTTACCTTTACACTTTATTTCAATTTAATACCTTTTTTCTTGAACCTGAAGTATTTATAAATTAAAAAGTAAAGCAACAGTTTATAAAGTCTAAGTAATATATAAGTACGAATAAGTCTTCTTAAGCCGTGCCGTGATAGCTCAGTGTCCGGGCGCTCGCCTTTAATTCAATATACTCGAGCAACCTGCGTTCGATCCCCGGTGCCGGCACCAATGAAGTTTTTAAATTTAAGTGCTGACTTATCACGTGCTCCGCGGTGAAGGAAAACATCGTGAGGAAACCTGCATATTTTCGAAATAATAACAAAAAAATATAGGTATATATTTCGAAGATATGTGAAGTCCGCCAATCCGCAGTGGGGCCGCGTGGTGGACTATGCCCTGATACCCTCTGTATAGAGGAGGCCTTTGCCCAGCATTGGGACATGTATAGGCTGTTACTTTTAAGTCTTCTTATACTGGTATAAGCGGTCCACGGGTTTGGCAGACTAGCATTACAATACTTTAATTGAAAGCGACGTTTGTGCGACTGATTGTTCAAACATTACAGAGGCCGACCGCGAAGGAGCTTCTGAAGTTCCAGTTCATCAGGAAGGCGAAGAAAAACTCGTACCTAATGGACCTGATAGACAGGTACAAGAAGTGGAAGGCGCAGCGAAGCGAGGAGAGCGAAACGGAATCGGAGAATTCGGACTCGTGAGTAAAATTGTAACGTAGATAAAATAATGTCGTTCGTAGTGTAAGACGCTATTGTTCCGTAAGCACCAGAGTATAGAGGAATTGGCGGTGGTAATGAGTTTTTTTTTTATGAGAGATGGTGGCAAGCGAGCTGGCGATTTACCTAATGTTAAGTGATAACCGCCGCCCGTGGTTGCAGAAGCATTGCCACTTTTTAATAAAGTGTGCTCCGGCTACATCACACACCAGACGATACGTAGAAGTATAATATTTCCACTTGTCGGTCTTCTGTAAGGATGCAGGATTTGTTTGAACCGTCTCAAATATCGATCGGAAGGTCAACACGGTGAACGTACGAATAGACATGATCAAATCTAACTTATGCAGGGTGTATGACTCCGTGATTATGATGACTCCGTGGCCCAGTGGCCAAGGTATTGGCTTCGGCGTCGGGGGTCGTGGATTCGATTCTCACACGGGAAACTATTTGTGTTACCCACAGATAGTTTTTTCGCTTCTGGGTGTTTGTCCGCGTGAAATTTATTTTTGTAAAACGTCCTTAAAACACAGGATAATGTTATCCTAAAGTAAGAGCAATGTTTTTTTGAAAAAAACTAAAAAGAACATTGTAGGCAATTATAATTTTAAATAGAAGTAATAAAAAATTATGTTTTGTCTTTGATTTTTTTCTGTCCTTTAAAGGAACACATTATATAACAGCAAAAACTTGAAGTGCCGTGTGTTTAGTTTTAAAGAATGCATACTGAGTAATCTGGGGCAATAAAGATTCGGTTGTTATCGTTCCGGACCAATGATAAAAGATAACTGTAATCCGGAGAATTTTAACTTGTATGCGCATAATTTTGTATATTTCTGTGAAACACTAATTGTATAGCTTACTGGCTACCAGTAATGTGACAATGTAATGATAGCACTTGATAACACTCTCTCGCTACTTATATTCATCCATTTTTCTTTAATAGCTGAAGAATGGAGAATTATATTTAAAGTGATTTTCGTAAGTAGTCAGCCATAAGTAGATTGCTATCTCTTAGTCTGAAATTCAAAAACCCATAATGCGATTGAGGATTTTGAATGAGTTCCGTCATTCCTAAAAGCCGAAATTCCAAAGCAGGAAACTGCAGATTGATCTCAGATTCACGACTTCCGAATAGCGTTTCTTTATCTTCCCATTATGTCTATCTATCCTCTTTCAATATTCACCATCCTCTTTCTTGATTTTATTTTGACATGGACATTTCTCCGTCTCAAATTTGCTGCTGTTATCAATTTTTATCATGAATTGTCACGACTGGAATAAGTCAGAGGTAAACGCATTAGTAATAACATGCCTATTCGAATGCTTTTAAGAAACTATCCTTTTAAGAGGGTGGTATGACGGACTTCTGCAAATGTCCATAGTACATAGTTCTTACTTCAAGCTGTTTATTATTTTTACGGTAGCCGCGAACCTTTTCATTCCATATCGTTCAATACCATACTTTGCATCAATACACCGCATTAACACCATAGCATATTTATTTCATTGACTTGTACACCAGATACATATTATTTATGAAATGATCGAATCCATAAAAGTGCTCAGCGGTGAAGGAAAAAATCTTGAGGAAACCGGTATAATTTCAAAATAAAAAGAAAAAAGTATATAGAAGATATGTCAAGTCCCCCAATCCAGAGTGAGGCCGCGTGGTGGACCTAATATCCTCTGTACAGAGCGTAATTCAGAGGTGGGACACATATGTTACTTTACCCTTCTTCACTGCAATTGTCAGACGTTTACTGTCTGCTTTAATATTTCAATGAAATCAAAGTCCCATCAGCATAAACTTATTTGTGTGGTCATAATGTTATTTGTTTTTTAGGGAGGAGTGTAGTCGAGGCGACGGCGAAGCGGACGAGCCGTGGATAATGACGGTGCGCGGGGGGGCGGGCGCGCGTTCGCTCCTTCCCGCCTCCGAGCGGCGTGACGCGCGTGACATACGCGACGTGCGTGACGTGCGTGACGTTCGGGAGCTGCGCGACATGCGTGACGTGCGTGACATGCGCGACATGCGCGAGCGTGACAGGGAGGCGGAGCGCGAGCGCGACCGCCGCGACGACAGCTGTGAGTATTCAAGACCGTAACGCGATTGTATTTGGGTCCGAATTGGCTTGGCACAAGCATGTCCAAGAGAATAACGCCAAACCGAGTCATGTACTATTTGGGCTTAGTATATGCCGTCGGAAAGTACGTATATACGTACTGCATATAGCTTCATCGGAGATAGGTACAGAGCAGAGAAAGACTAAGCCGTAGACTGTGTTAGTTGACTGCTAACTGCGGTGAGAACCGCCACTTGTGTTCTTTGTATACGCGGTGTGTTGGTCTCGCCGTGCTCATAAGAGGATGAACTATAGTATCTTGTAAGTTAACGCTACGTCGGTTGTAGTGTTGTCTGAAGGAAGTCCCGTTTGGTCCAGAATACTAATACGAAATACTAATCTCCTTGTTCTTGAGGACATTATACGGATGAGGTTTCCGAATAGGTCACGGTTCGGTCGGTAATTTGTGGCGTTTACCGCCAGAGGGCTGTGATTAGTTTCGATGTTCTCCAAGAACCGTATTTTTCCGCTCAGATGTGTTTTAGCTCGGGACACACTGTGTTGTCATTATGAACACATACTATAGCGGGTTGTTGCACCGCCTCTGTATAATTTCAGCCTATTAGAGTCCACTGCTGAACACAGGTCTCCCACACAGACTGCCACGTAGCACGATCCTGAGCCACCTGCAACACCCAACCCCCATAATTTAATAACGAATAAATGTATATGAACTTTTTTTATTTTAGAAGGTGGTAAGCGACCTGGTGGTTCACCCGATGTTAAGTGATAACCGCCGCCCGTGGACATTTGCAACACCCGTATGGTTGCGGATGCGGCGGATGCGTTGCCACCTTTTAATAAATTAAGTGTGCCTCGTAACCTAACCTAACCTAACTCATAAGTCAACCACTAAATGCAAAATCCGTTTACTGCCAAAGACAAAGTCTCCGTCTAAGCACTTGTTGTGTTGATAAAAAATCGCCCCCGTGTGCACCCGCAGCGCTACCGTCGCCCACGTCGCCGTCCGCGCCCAAGCAGAACGGCGCGCTGAGCGTGCGCGGCGAGGACCCGCCCGCGCCCAACGACGCGCACGCCAAGCCCGCGCCCCACGCCAACAGCGACAAGCAGCCGGTCAGTGCTCCCACCTCGGCCAATCGGAATCCGCCCTCGTCTTCCGTCTCTTTCCTTTTCGCCCAACGACGCGCACGCCAAGCCCGCGCCCCACGCCAACAGCGACAAGCAGCCGGTCAGTGCTCCCAACTCGGCCAATCGGAATCTGCCCTCGTCTTCCGTCTCTTTCCTTTTCGCCCAACGACGCGCACGCCAAGCCCGCGCCCCACGCCAACAGCGACAAGCAGCCGGTCAGTGCTCCCACCGGCCAATCGGAATCCGCCCTCGTCTTCCGTCTCTTTCCTTTTCGCCCAACGACGCGCACGCCAAGCCCGCGCCCCACGCCAACAGCGACAAGCAGCCGGTCAGTGCTCCCACCTCGGCCAATCGGAATCCGCCCTCGTCTTCCGTCTCTTTCCTTTTCGCCCAACGACGCGCACGCCAAGCCCGCGCCCCACGCCAACAGCGACAAGCAGCCGGTCAGTGCTCCCACCTCGGCCAATCGGAATCCGCCCTCGTCTTCCGTCTCTTTCCTTTTCGCCCAAAGACGCGCATCTGAATATCACAGTGAAACAGTTGGTCAGTGATCCTACCTCGACCGATCGGAATCCGCATAATATCATTATGTCTTTTTTTAATATTAGAAGGTGAGCTGGCGACTCTCCTGACGTTAATTGATAACAGACGCCCATCGACATTTGCCCTTAGGGTTGCTGATGCGTTGCACGCATGGGCAGGTCCGTCCGGGGAAGTACCACGAGCTCACAGAGGAGAAGACCGGCGTGAAGTGGAAGTTTTATACTTCTACGTTACGTCTGGTGAGTAAGGTAGCCGGGGCATCTTTATTAAAAGGGGCAACGAATCTGCAAATTTGAATAGGCGGCGGTTATCGCTTAACATCAGGTGAACCGCCAGCTCGCTTGTTGCCACTTTCTCACTTAAAAAAAAAGAGTTCGCAATGAAGATATCGGCAGTTAATAATTTTTTTTGGCAATGTGAATTTATTGTATTAAAATACTACGTTTAAACTTTCCAGCATCGGCAGTCACCGATAGTCCAAACGCCGATAGAGCAGAGGAACACGAAGGAAAGAGAAAGAGATAGGGGCGACAGGGAGGATAGAAAGGAGAGGCAGGACCATCAGACGTCGAACCGCGACAGCGTAGTCAATAACAAGGCCGTGAGTAACATTTGAATGATCATTAGTTGACGTAAGAAAATGAATTTGCCGCATAAAGCGTCGTAACTTTGAAATAAGACACAACGAGCTCTTATACCACTTTTCTACAACTTTGACTATATGATTTATTCTATGCGCAAAATTCTTGGCTTTTGTTGTTATAATTATAGCGTAGAAATTGAAAGACATTCAATAAGTATATTTAAAAGTAATCACTTCGTATGATGTTATTATTAATTTGTTTCAGTAATCCTTAATTGGCGCAAATGTCCTATAAAATTATTGACACAACTTATGGAACCTGTAATGATAAATAAATCACTTAGCTATTCAGATATGCTAAGCAGCGTTTCTAAATATATAATTCCAGGCTTCTCCCCTGGACCATAGAGGAGCAAACAGCGAGGAGAACAAAGTGAGGCGGCACGCTTATCTGCAACAGCTCATTTACCCTCTACTCAATGAGGTAAAATATATTGTGAATAACTCTATTTATTTTTTTAATTTATATAAATGCTTAGGGCTTGATTTTTTTTTGTATACAATTAAATATGAACTAGTCGTGTAATTCAATTTGTATTGTATTTATTGTAACCAAATAAATTTTTCACTCGACGGTACAAGCCACATCACAGGCTGTGGCTTGTACCGTCGAGTGCAATATTTGAGTATTAAAGATAGTTAGACTGTGCCGTGATTGAGAAGGCTAGACTATCCGTCATTAACACCACTTCGCTATAATATATAGAAAAACGTGACAAAGTTCGGGAGCTCACTGTACTGCGAATGAATCGCAGCTTTTCTTGGTTTTATTTTTCACAACAAACTTGAGGATGCAATTTAGCTGTAAATACAATACACTTAAGTGCTGTTTTTGGTCGCGCCCTTTAGCTCCAATGCAGGGGTTTCTCCGTTTTATTTTCTTATCGATGATCGTGACGATGGAATGTAGTTCTTGAGTCCATACATTTACGTGCTGTTTTTGGTCGCGTCTGAACACCAATCGCAGCGTTCACCTGGTTTTATTTCCTTATCGATGGAATCTAGCTCTTATTATTATACGCTTTTGTGCCGCTCTCGTTCCCGTCCTTTGTACTTCAATAGTTTTATTATCTCATCGACAACCGTGACGGTGGAATGTAGCCCTTATTCTCGTACGCTCATGTTCTGTTTTTGGTCGCGCCCTCCGTTCTCATCGACAACCGTGACGGTGGAATGTAGCCCTTATTCTCGTACGCTCATGTTCTGTTTTTGGTCGCGCCCTCCGTACTCATCGACAACCGTGACGATGGAATGTAGCTCTTATTCCCATACGCTTATGTGCCGTTTTGGTGCGCAGCTGGGCCGCAAGCACGGGCCGGGCAGCGCGGCCGCCATCGACGAGGTGCGGCGCGCCTTCGAGATGGCCGAGCGCAGCGCGCCGCACCTAACGCGCGCCTTCGTGCAGCAGGCGAGTGCCCGCCCCTCCCCCCTCCTGCTAGGGCTACGCTAGTGGCCGGGTTCGATCCTCGGCACGGAGCGAAGCTACCGAGCGACCCGAAGCGCTTTTTCTTTGAAGCGAATGGCGTAGTGGGTAGTATACCTGTCTCCTGCGCCAGAGGCTGTGGGTTCGATCCCCACTACTGGAAAAATATTGTGTTATGAACGTAGTGATTTTTAGTGTCTGGGTGTTTATATATGTATAATATGTATTTATTCACAAAAGAAAAGTATTTTTAAGTATGTTTATCAGTTTTCTAGTACCCGTAGTACAAGCGTTGCTTAGTTTGGGACTAGAAAATGTTGTGTAAAGTGTGTCTTAAAAATATGTATTTATTTAATATTTATTTCTTTTCTCGTTAGAAGCGGTTAAAATCCAAAGAGGTCAATAAGCTGGCCACCTGATGCTAAGCGATCAGCGCCGCCCAGGGACAGTTCATCGTCAGCCGCAAAACGTCCACTGCTGAACATAGGCCCTTAGAGCGCGACGACGAACGACACTGTCATTTGCATCATTGGTTTTTTTTATGTGAAAAAGTGCCAAACGAGCTGGCGGTTCACTTGATGTTAAGTAATAACCGCTGCCCATGGAAAATTGCAACGCCCGTAGGGTTGCAAATAGAGATACCTTTAAATAAAGTGGGCCCCGGCTACCACTCACCAGACGAAACGCAGAAGTGTAACACTTCTACTTTACGCCGGTCTTCTGTGAGGTCGTGGTAATCACCCGGACGGACCTGCCCATTACTGCAACAGTGAAATCTGTTGCGTGGCCCTACCACAGTTGGGTTGCCCGCGACTCTTAAGATGGCGTCATTAGACACTTGAAACTGGCAATGGTCTTATTTACTTAATAAAATGAAAATATGGATTATACAGGATGAAAACGTTAAATTAAACGACATCTGGGCGCGAAACAAAAAAGACACAGTTCCAATCCCGCAGCGCCGAAAGTTTTTGTTCATTTATCAACACAAAATTTAAAATTTAAAGCGACATTAATAAAATTCTAGTAGTGTAGTTTGAAGCTTTTATTTTTTATATAAATAATGCTCGCGCCCTATATTTTAAAACAGACATTTTTTTTATTTGTTTCTCACTAACGACCCCGTTTTCCAACAGGTAGTACAGAGGGTGGCGACGCAATCGCACCAACCTTCTACGCCCACACACAACAACTCCCAACAGTGGATGACGTAGGTGTGTATAGTTTTACAGTAACAATATATTGTGTAGTTTTAGGCGAAATATAACTAAAGTAATTTATTTTAATTAAAATTATTGTTCTATTTTTGTCAGTTTGTCGGGAAGCTCCAAAGCTCCAGGAGTTTAATGCCAAAGCTAAAGCAATTGAATGTCATCATAACTAAACATTAACTTTCGCGTGGATAAAACAACATTAACTATCAAATAGTCGCTCTTGTTGGAATCGAGCCCCGAAGAATTAATTGATGGACTCGCCAACCAATAATGATAATATGTTTTTTTTTAAAACATTACCCTTTTAGGTCCTCTGTTGAAGCGACGTTTTACAAACGTAAATTTCATGTGGACAAACGCACAGGTCCGAAGCAATTACCTGTGGTTCACACAAACAGTTGTTCTGTGCGGGAATCGAACCCACGACCCCCGTTGCCGAAGCCAATACCTTGGCATCAGCGCTATGGAGTCACCGCTTAAAATTCAGCCCGGTTTCGAGTGACCTTTTAGTTTTTTTTTATTTATTTATTTCGAGCGGTTACAAAATACAAATTATAACACGACCAATTTATTACGGGCTAATACATATTACTAAACTTGCAACCGAACACAACATTAAATTTGAATATGCTATTTCAATAATGTATGTAAAAAAGTGCGTAGTCCCTCCGCGCGGAAGAAGTGAAACTTCGAGGGCCACGCATACACTCTCGCTCCGTCTCTTTCTTTCCCCCCCTCCCCAGGAGCGTTGAACGTTTGACGCAACAGCGCTTTCATAGCCCCATCCACGCCAGCGTTAAACGTTTAACGCGACCTTGTTGGAAGTCGCATAAGTTTCACTTCAATAATAATAATTGTTACAAATGGTGGCCCCTCAACAGGGACCCACGAAGGGGCCGGCTGCGGAGAGGTGCCAGATCGGCCGGTCCCCTACTCCGACCGCAGCGCCCCCTGCCGATGACCGACCCTTAACTGAGGCCTTCATTATGCCTTACGCTGTCCAATTTAATAATGTATTGAGGTTGAATGCGAGTATTGAGGTTGAGAGTGTGACAGTTGTTTCGCACGCGATTGTGGCGTTCCGCGGCAGTTTACTTTGCCCGATCGTTAGATGACGCGTCCAGGTTCTTTGTTGTGACTGAAAATGTTTCATTCTTGTATCACATCCACCACCCCCCGACAATCGACCTCGTGACCAATTTACGATAGCCGTTTGTCTCTTATGTAGATACAAATGCAGAGTGTGATTTCATTCAGTTTGGAGAGTAAATCCAAAATCCAATTCGTTTTTTCTTTTGTTAATTTGAATTCTAGTTTATGGGCGGACAAAATGTTTTATAATTCCACCATGTTATTTAGCCTATAACATAGTTGTTGAAATTATTCTTTATTTGGAAAATGTTATTGTTTTTTATTCTGTGCATCATATATAACTCTGTATAATTTCCGTCATACGTATGTCGCAGGCACATTGCAGAATCTGGCAGATTACAAGACGCCTAGGCAGATTATAAAATGTGACAGACTAGAAATCGAAAGAAAAAGTTTTACCTAACATAGAAGAGGCATAATTGCGCTTTGGGCGGACATAGTTTAGACATTTTGCAATCTACCGGATTCTACAATATTCCTGCGACATGTACATTGATATTGTAACATTCCGTCACTTTTCATAATATTGCGTTTGTTTAGTAAAAGTAGTGAAAGGGAAAACACGCTCGTGTCCCGTATTTTTTGTAATTACGCGCTTAATATTGGTAATACATATATGTAAATGCTTCAATTGAGGATGAAAATTGTTATATTTTGGTATGCGAGGGCTTTTACTTTCGAACGAATATCAGTCTTAACGTGTGGCCGCGCTCGAGTCACAAAGCTGCAATGCCATAGTGTAATGAAATATTACGTAATGAATACTTAAGATGGTTATGTCTTATTATATTTTATATTCTGTGCATTATTTATGTAAATATCACGTTTTGTTTCCATAAAGGGACGACTGTGATTGCTCTTGGGGTGTGTGTTATATATTGCGCGAATACTTTATATTTATTAATTTTTAATATTTCTGATCTACTCGCTTTAAGAGACATTTGAAAATAGCAAGTAAATATTTTAATCGCTTGCATTTTTCATATTGTTATTTTACTCTTCTCATATCTTTCTTTATCATCAAGTTTCCGTTTGAAATCGGTCAATGTTTTCTTGCATTGAATGATACATGTTCCAAGAGCAAATAGTGTTTTTACAAGTAGACTTTTGAAGTCTGGGTGTTAGATTCGCTTTACCTAACGTTTTTTGTCCTGTTTAGTTTTATCGCAGATTAATTCTGTGTTAATTTTAACACCCCTCACACGTGTTTGTGTACACCCTTAGTTTAATTTGTCAGCGTTCGTTCGTTGTAACTCTGTGTTTGTTTGTTTGCAACGGTACTCTTTATCGTATAATTAATTAGCGTAAAACTAAAATATTCGCGGAGGGCCGATGTTCCGTACTTCGCCAGTGTTTTGCCATAATTTCGTCTAAATTTAAATTTCACTAACGCCGTTTCGTTTTTAATTAAATTTACCTGTAGAGTGTGCTATGTCTAAATCTCTAATATATTCGTACGTTTTAGAAGTCGTTTAATGAAACATTGTAGTTTCTTTAGTGTCATTCCAGACAAAAGACAATGTTGTCGGCATTTATAGAATTATTCGTTTTGTTGAATTTGAACTAACACATTGTTTCTTACGTTAGCAAATTCCTCGCGGCCTCTGTGTGAGCGGCGCTGATGGGTTTTCGTTTTTTTTTTAATATTCTGGTTTAGAGCATCAGCTCTTATTTCGTGCGTCCGTTTCGAATTAAAACATGACTAATTTATAACGTTCTAAAACATTATTATAGACGGATTATTGCAAACTTGAACACCGTTGTCACCAACCGGAATAGTTTTATAACGCGAGATGGCGAATACATTTTTTATCTTTAGTATTTTTGTTACTCGAAACGTGTTCCGACACCAACGACCATTCGGTGTCTGTATAGATAAACGAGAAAGAAGAGAAAAAAAAAAGAGAAACATGCTTAATATGCGACAATATTTAGCAATTACAAGAAAAACTAACAATTATTGCTGTGTAAAAATGTAAACCTATAAATATAAATGTGTAAATTGTGTAGTGTAATATAAAGAAAGCTGTTCTATGAAGTGTTCTTATAAACGTGCGTGAAGTGAGACCCATATTGTTGATAGGATTAGTTTGTAGCTCACGGAATTTCTATTCTTAAATCGTAAAGTAGGCGAGTTCACTGAATGCCTTCCCGCGTACTTGTTAAGTAGGCTCTCGGGCGAAGTTGGCCAGGAAAGGGGATACTTGGAGAAATTGACCAGTAAAGTTTGTTTATAGAGATATTCCTATATTGGAGGCCCATCTTCGCACGGGACCCAAATGGGTTTCGCTTCAGGGTCGCGACGCGTTCGCCTTGTAATTTTGTTTTCCGTTTTGCCATGCGTGTCGTTGCATGGTCGATGTTAGTTGGTTTCGATGGAGGATCAGAAAAAAAAAAGATTTATTTTTCCACTCGATGGGTATTATATATCGTAATAAGAGCGTGTAGTGTTAGAGGTGGCGATAATTGTTGATTATTGATTAAAAAATTAGATGTTTGCGGCATTGGAACGTAGTCGAGACACGTTTTGGCGGGAGTTTGGTGTCATGGCGGCGGGGGCTAGTACAGGGCGCTCTAGCCGCCACGCTACATTCTCCCGATAGCGGTTCGTAGTTGTTACCGTCGAATCTTCGCAGAATGTTCGGGATCGCATCGTTCGGTTCATGGGTATTTGTGATCGTAATGCATAGTTGATAAATTTTATTCTACCTATTATAGTGATGACATATTTGAAGTGACGTCTCGGTGCCACAGCCGGGCGTGGATTTTAGCGCGGGCACGTGCTTTTTCCATTTTTCAACACGTACGCGCCCGCTGTACGCTTTCGAAACATTTTGAACCCTATCGTCTAGTGATAGGGTTGAAAATGTTTCGTCGATCGTGCGAGCTTTATCGCCCGCGCCCGTAGTACGCACTGACCGGCCCCCTATCGCACCAACTTACTTGTACCAGCCCGCGACGCTTACCATTAGTGTGATGGTCAATTAATGCTACGGCGTCCGTCATTCTAACACGTTCATGTAGAAAACAAATTTGACTCTGAAATAAAAGAAGTTATTTAATTTTGGATCCAATTGTTTCATTTTACTCACCTAATCTATATTATGTATATATTTATACATATTAAATACTAGCTGCTACCCGCGACTACGTCTGCGTAGAGTAGGCTGAAGGCGTAATATTCAAACAGAAAGACAGATAGGTTACAATTTATATACATTATTATTGTGTTATTCTGATGTATAATTGTAGTTTCATTAAAATCCATTCAGTAGTATTTGCGTGAAAGAGTAACAAACATCCATCCATACAAAGCAACTTTCGCCTTTATAAAAGTAGTAAGGATATTCGGTGTGAAGATGCCTCATGAAGTTTCTTTCACACCGATGGATATTTGAAACAGTGATTGAGAAACAATATTTTTTTTTGGCATGATAAAAGTTTAAAAGATACTTTACCTTTGTATGGAGCAGTTCGAATTTTGTGTAAATATTTATATATCTTGACTGTAGATTTTAAATGAAATGACTTCAGTACTTTTCAGTTTTATTGACTAGGTTATAATTACATATGGTTTCATTACAAATTTACAAATATATAAAAATAACTTACGCACGAGATGTTATGAGATTCGTTGTTATCGCTTAATATTATATAAGAAATGATAGCTTACGCATATTATAATAAATAATGTGATGTGTACGCATTTAATCATGTTTAAATTTCATTTTTAATTCCTGAAGTTTTATTTTTCAGTACTAATCGTCCCAGGATAGACAAAAACATCGGAATTCAAAATAAAAATGAAATAGAATCCCTAAAATAAGTTACATTGCATAATATTCGCGTAAACACAAAAAATCAGATTCGATAAATGATCAATGAAAATACATTTCATTTTTAATATATTCACTAAAAATATCTATCAATCACCAAAGTTTTAAATGTATTCATAATGTCCGATTGTTAATGAACGAAATTGAGGTCGTTAATATATTTACACAAAGTATTGTTATCAAGTACAATGCGATCATAGCCTACTAAACTTAATTGTTAGTTTCTGTACATTAAACACAATGAAACTAATATTAAACATGGTACTTAACATCTACAATAAAAATACAAATTGTGGAACACATACAAAATACGATCAATCGTTAAATTTGATTTAAATCTGTTACGTGAGATAATTAATATTTAATTCGCTTTCCTTTTTTAAATCAATTGTATATGGAATTTGTTTAAATTTGATCAAATTTCCTACAGTATTCATAAATAATACATTGGTTTAATTACGCCAATTGATAAATTACCTTAAACCAATTTATGTGTAACGTAAATTGTGTAGGAACTTTAATTTTTTTTAATTATTAAAATAGTTGAGCGATTTCGAAATAATAGAGCAATTTTAGATTTATAAAAGACTATCTAAACGTATGAAGAAACCAATGGAATGACGCATCACTAAGTCTACACTGAACATATGGAGTGTAGAGTACAAGAAGTAGTATCCCCTTTTTTTAAAGTAACTTTTTATAGGGGTTCAATAAATTAACATAATAAATTTGGCGCGTTCTTTGTGGCGTAGAACGAATGGCGCAGTAACGCCATCTTTAAAATCAGTGTATTATATTTTAATGAGAGCATTGAGATAATCCTCACACTTTCAACTCGTAATAACACAAGCATAATTCTAACGTTTAAAGTACTAAAATACCGCTAGCGAAGCGTACCAGTATAATGGCAGCGAAACAATATCTAAATTGAGACTATCGTAATAACGTCGAATGGTACGCTCCGAGGAGG